TCTTCGAATTTGTTCCATTAAATCGATTGAAGATGAACGAACATATTGATGATGTTTATGACCAGAATCAATGTTGTTTTTCTTTTCTTCGTCTGGTCTGGTCAATGATCATGATCAGTGTGTGTGTGGGTGATGTTCAATTTTGTACAATTTTTTTTCCTTTGACAACAGAGAATGTTTCAACAAAAAAAAAATCCAGAGAATTTCACTGTTGTTGCTGTTGAAAGAATCCAAAAAAAAAGAAAAGAAATTCCTGCATTTGTCACGTTGAAAAAAAAAACATTTCAAAACCAAAACCAAGTTGACCTGATTCGATCGATTATTGATCGATCGAATTAAAAAATCAAACTTTTCATTTTTTTTCAATTCATTTTTGTTGTTTACCTGGTAATTGATCCATTGATTTTTTTCTTCTTTTTTTGATTCAATTTGTTTCAGCCAAAACATAAAAATAATGGAATTCGTTTGTTTCACTTTCTTCGTAAAAATAATAAATAAGAAATATGGAATCGATACTTTTCGTTTGAAAATAAATTGACAATGTTTTTTGTTTTTTTTTATTGATTGAAAACATTAGACATGAAAAATATTATTTTTGATTTTTTGATTGTCCATTTTTATGATGATTTTCCGATTCTTTCACAAAATGATCGCAATATTTATTTATTATCATCATTAGGTTTTTCTGTTGTTGTTGTTGTTGTTTTAGTTAATGTTTGTTTGGTTGTTTTCCCGAAAACATTTCCCCCCATTTACTTTCAAGTATAGATCATGTTCATCAAAGATAATTGTTTTTTGTTGTTGTTGTTGTTTATGTCTCAAGTGAGGGAGAGAGAGAGAATGATTTGATCAATTCACATTAATTTCATTCGTGACCAACTTTATTTTTATTTCAATTCTTTTTGATTTTTCTGTTTGTTTTATTTTTCAGAAAAAAAAGTTTTTTTTTCTTTGTTTTTTGTTTTCGAAAACAACATTTTTTTTGGAACAATGACTGTCGAAATAGAACAGAACAGGAATAGATATTATACACACACACACACAGGATGAAGAAAAAATTGAAAAATCTTTTTATTTCCAGTAATATTATTGATCAAAAAAAAAGTAAACAAATTTTTTCCAGAGAAATTTCTTCCCAAACAACAACAACAACAATGTTTTTTTTTGAAACGAATCAAACAAACAGAAAAAAAATGTCAACCGCTTCAAGGCAAAATTCCAATCATCAAGTATACACTACACTAACCAGCCAAACAGCCAACCAGCCCCTTCAATGTTGGCTTCACTGACATTATTTATTTTTTAAAATGTTTTTTTTTGTGAATATTTTTGCTGTTGTTATTATAGTGAGTTGATTCTGTAAAATGCTTTTTCTACTCTCTCTCTTCTGTTTGAAAATTTACATAATAATCAATTCGATGATATCCTGTGTATGGTTCTTTACGCCTATTTCTACATCAACATTGTTGATGATGAAAGTAGAAATGGAAAAGGCAAGAAAAAAATATTCAAATTATCAACTTGAACTGATACTAAATACACAGGATTTTTTTTCGCTTCTTTAAAAAATTCAGAAATTCTTATGAAACCAAAAAAATTTTTCCGGAAAAATTCCCGAAAAAAAACTAACCAAACAATATTTTGAGACACAAGTTTGGTTTAAATTTAAATATTTACAAATTTTTTCTCTATACATTGTCAAAACACCCAACTAGACACAGAGAACCTTCATTTATTGATTTATTCAATTATTTAGTTAGTTTGTTTTTTTTTTAAATTGAAAAATTGATAGGAATTTGTGTTTGTTTTATCTCTCTCTCTCTCTCTGTGTGTGTTTAATTATTCAACATTAACGACAATCAAAATTACTGATGATGATGATATTCTAGGGAAAAAAAGGAATAACAAAGTTTAAAAAATTGATTGAAATTTTTTTTTTAAGTTATTGTTTATCTATCATCATCATCGTATCATTTTCTTCATCGTTGTCAATCGGATTTTTTTTTTTTTTTTTTGGTTGAACATTGAATCTGACATTGATTGAATGATAATTTTGAAATGAAAAAAACTGAAAAAGCTGAATAGCGCTTGGATGGATTTTTTTTCTTTCTTTCATCTATAGATTTTATGATTGAGAATTTTTTCCCCACCCATTCCTCCCTCTTTCCCACCTCAATATTATTGGCAATGACATTGTATGATGATGGTGGTGACACTTTTATTTAACCACCCATCGATCCATCCATCCATTTTTTTGATGGCAGAAACAAAAATTTTTTTTTTTTTTT